AAAAAAAAACAAGGTTCGTTATCTTTTCATTTTAAATACAACAAAGAAAACACGTTCTAAGATATTTATATTTCTTTTACATCACTCCAATGGAAGCAGAGATAAATAGAGAGATAGAGATAGAATGGTAAAAGTCAGAATAATCTCAAGTTCAACTAAAAACAGTGATACCATATCACTACTTCTGCAAGTACTGGATTAATACAGACATAGCAGTAGTTTAGATTACTCGGTTCTGCCTCATCACTGCGAGCAAAGAGCCGCAGTCCATTCACTTCCTGTACAGATACCACTGTAGATATGACTTCAGGAATTAACGTGGTATTTCCCCCGTCCACATCACGATCAGGTTCATCCATTACATTATCCCCATCATCACTATCAGTATTATTATTATTATTATTATTATTATTATTATTATTTTGATTAGTATTTCTTCTAGTTGAATCCTTTAATGGAATAGCTCGAATAGCGACAAGAGTCTTATACCACATACGAGCGGCTTCCAAATAGACTGTGAAATCATCATCCCACTGATTGTTTGTACCACCACCAGCAACAAAACGCCAAACAATATGATATAAAAACTCTGCCCGCTCTTTTTTATTAAAAAGTAGACGTAATTCTGAAATAGGGATTTGAGCTGCGGCACTATAAGAGAACATATCCATATCATCATAATCATCATTATCTTCACGGCATACGGCGGTGTTATTTACTAATAAGAATAAAGCTCGTAGTTCATCCGTGACGGGAATATCATGCGGGAGATACATATCCCCTCTCTTTACAATAGGCATTCGAACACCATCAAAAGGTTCCACACGATCATTATTATTATTATTATTATTATTATTATTATTATAAATAGAATCCGAGTGATCTTTATCGTTCCCTTCAACACAACGCACCACTCCAGCCTCCACAAGACGTTTAAATGGATCCAACGTTATCCAATTGCAGTTAAGCTCACTGTACTCCACACCACCACGCTTATTACTACTATTATTATTACTATGATGATAATTAGAAGAAGAAGAAGAAGCCTTCAGTCCAAGTGCCTCTTGCACGACTGTAGACTCAAAGAGAGCAGAAAGAAATTCCTGTAAAAGTCCTTTATGAAAACCAGAGAATCGAAGAGGTCCTAGTACACTACTGTTCATACCACCATTGAAGTGATCCTCTTCAAGTTGAAAACGAAAAGCACAGAGACGTGTGTTTAGATGTAAACCCCATCTGTCCTGTACTTCCTTAAAGAAGGAATCATTCAGTATAGACTCAAATCGTTCTTGTCGGAGTTGTTCAAACGAAAAGCGTTGTTGTACTACCATCACTCTTTCTTCTTTTAGATATATATATATATATATAT